CCGGTTTTTCTCTCGGTTTTTCTCTTTCCCTCCATGCTCAAGTCAAGTAGGCGGCGACTTGAGCTTGTTCAATCTCCTCTCTTGTTCTCAACGGCGTCAACGATCTTTGGCTTCTGTTGTTCAGAGTTAGCGAGTGCATTAGTTAATTGCCGATTCTGCCTTGTATCTGACTCATAGGACTGTTTATTTATTCGATTATTTGTTTACATTACATAATTAGAAGGCAAAACAAGCAAAGCAAGTATTTTCTTATTGTTGTTTAACTTAAAGGTCTCATCTATTTCTGTGAGGTCCGCTGAAAAAGGATTTATTGGGAGGGAATTTCGAAAAAGCTCAGTATGTAGAAGATCTTTTTTTCCTTCTTGACTTCAACTTACTTCTATGGCTCTCTCCTTTCGGTTAGCGGTCGTAGTAAATGGTTTTTCGGTCTCCAGCTGGGTATTTGTTATTTGTTCCCTTGCGCATGGTTCGATGAGCAAAGTTCAGTTTCCGTTCTCTCACCCCCCCCCCCCCCCCCCCCNCCCCCCCCCCCCCCCATCCCAGCCAGTTATTTCTTGCAAAAAAAGGGAGCGGTGAAAAATATAGTTGAGTCAAGGGCTACACCGGTACTAGTAGCCAGCTCTGTGGGCCTGTAATAATGCTCTTAAACAAATACTTTCGAAAGAATCAGTGAAACTGAATGCTTCATTCTTAAGCCATCCTAGCGTATGCTAAAAAACGTATGCAACCACAATCATCGTCGCAAAGCTGACTACTTCTCCTTCTTTTCGAAGGAACCCTTTTCCCCTGATCACATTTTAATCGTAGTGCTTTTAGGAAGCAATGCGCCACTACCATTCTGATTAGAAGTTGAATGAGGGGGCGCATCTCTCAGATGGGGTCGATTAACGAAAGGAGACTTTATCTTTTTCCCTTATGATGAATAGTCCAATATATGTAGGTCGATAGTCCACCCTTTAATACTACCGACATTCGTTGGTTCTACCAAATCATAACTTGATGGCTTTCCTCTTTTTCATTCATTTTCACCTTCCCTTCCTTTCCCTTTATATTTCGTTTGGTAACAGTATTCACGCTAAGTAATTAAACAAAGTGAGGTGTAGTTTGTCCTAACCAACTTAAAAACTCGTTTGCCTTCCTCCATTTTTTCAGGAGGAACTTCCGAGCGATCTCTAGCTTCCCTTCTCACTGCTCCTCAATCCTTGAGAAGCCGCTTTCGGTCCGTTCGCTCCATCCTCCTCTCGGCGACGACGGCGTTCTTTGGCTTCTGTTGTTTAGAGCTGGGCAAGGCGACAATTAATTGCAAATTCCTCCTGCCTTCCTTCCCCTCCTTCAGCAACTCGGCTGTCCACCCGACTGTGAAGTTATAATTGGTCTCACGCCCATCTCGCCCGATGACAGCTCCAAGTCTCCTAGTGATCTTTGATTGCTTCCCTGTAGAGCTTCCTGATGACCTCGTTTTCCGCCACTTTGGTTCCTAGGGCTTCTACCAAACTCGTTGCTGTCACTACCACCATCCCCAGTTCTTATGTTCCCCATTCCGGCTAAAGGATCATCGAAAGAAAGCAGAATTAGCTGTCAGAACGGCTTTTTCCCTTTCCGTCCAAAGATTATAGGCAATAAGCTAGTCACCATAGCCTCTAATTCGGTTGGTTAATCAGCTTGACGACTAAATGACACATCCTATCCGATCGTCGTTCCATCTAGAGCTAATAGTAATGCCATCCTTCGTTTTCCTCTTTGAATTGCTTCAATTACCCCGTTGACCCTAACTGTTTCCGGTTTCCTTCAAGTTTCTTCCCTTCTCCTCCTTCCTTTGTTTGTTCACATCGTTTTCTGTGAGGGCGCATATGTTACCCAGCGGTGTTAATCAATTCTTTCCAGTTCCTCCGTGCATTCGACTTTCGTTCTGATTGTATGGACCTTTAAATCTTCCCTATTACTTCCGTATAATGACCTGACTGGACTGGCAGTGAACCTAGAAAAGCCTGGTACGAATTAGTCGTTAAGAAAAAGGATAGTGTGTTCGGTGACTTGAACAGGTTGGCACCCCTGGATAGGTCTTCCTCCCTTTTCTTCATATCGAGTCTTCCACCTTTCCTTTAATACTCCTTTTTGGCCGACTTTATGAGTATGACAACGTTAACATAATCTAATTGAACCTTTTCCTTCTTTCCTTCCTTTAATCTGCTTGTTCCAGCTACTTTACTCAACTAACTTTTCTTCTCTGAATATAAGGTTTTTCACCTTTCTCTCTTGCCTTCCTTTTCTTTTTCTTTTTCTCTTTCTTTTTCTTTTTCTTTTTCCCTTTCCCTTTCTCTTTCTCTTTCTCTTTCTCTTTCTCTCTCTCATTTTCTTTCTCTTTCTCTTTCTCTTTCTTTTCTCCTTCTCTTTCTCTTTCTCTTTCTCTCTCTCTTTCTCCTTCTCTTTCTCTTTCTCTTTCTCATTCTCTTTCTCTTTCTCTTTCTCTTTCTCTTCCTCTTTCTCTTGCTCTTGCTCTTCCTCATCCTCTTACTCTTTCTATTCCTCTTCCTCTCATACTTCTCAAATATTTTTTGAAGATAAATCTCCACTATCTCAATGGGAGCACTGGAAAGACTTTCGCAACTTCTTCTTGCAAATTTCTATCAATAAATGACCTTGGAATTGGAATTTTTTTCCTTCCCAATCAGTCTTCTTTACTGTGTTCCCATTTACGTCGTCATTCCTCTTCAATCAGTTACTGTCCCATTTAGCATTTGTGAAGTCATCAAGTTTTTCTACATCGTTTCGCTCGGATCTAAATTACCTGAAATAATATTTGATTGTAGTGATTTTGGCACTATCCAAGCCAACCAAGCCTTCCATCCCTCCGGGGTCGGTGAATTGGTACCAGATTCGTCTGGGAGGATAAAAGCGCTGACTTGTACATCAGCTGACCACCGCAAGTCTTTGTATAGGCCGCATACGCATTCTGACGGCCACTACGATCTGAATAGAAGTCGAATTCGCGGCGCATCCCTCAAACGTGATTGACTAACGCCGAAGACTTGAGTCTTTTATTGATGATCCACTGAGAGGGATTTACGTTAACCCTCTCAGCTCTGAGGGGTCTTTGTGAGCGTCAATAATGGTCCGTTTTTTTTTACTAGTTAGAAGACCCTTGTCAAAAAATGACAACGAATGGTTCCCAGATCTCTACAGTGCTGTAGCCCCACAGTGTTTGAGCTCAGTATTGATGAAATCTTTCGGTTTGGATTAGATTGGATTTGGACGCTTGCCCATATTACTCAGGGATGTTGTAGGGCATTTTGAAATGGCACCGCTACCAGTCTTATAGCCCGAAGAGTCAAAGGACGGCACTCGCCAGGATCAATCAAGCCTTTCATCCCTGAGAGCCATCTAATTGCCGCTAGGCTCATCTGAGAAGATGAAAGCACTGACTGGTATGCCATCTGGCTTCTCTAATTCGTTGCATAGGCCAAGTACCATTCAAACGCCATCTTCCTTGTGGATAGAAGGCGGGCGCAGGGCGCATCCCGTACAAGATTATTCATCATGGAAATTTCATCTCGTCTCCTTTTCTTTGAAATTATTCTTCATTGTAAAATGATCCTTTTTTGTCCAAT